CTGCAAGTCAAATGGAAAACCAAATAATTAGAATAAGCAAGCTGCATGAGTCCTTTCTATTGGTCCCAACTCACTCCAGACCCTGTTGTGGAATTCCAGCACCTCTTTTGTCCCCTTCCAGCTGTAAAATTTTCTTGATGAGATTTAAACAACCATCTCCTTTCCCAATCTCAGATAATCAACAAATGACCTTGCACAAAACCTAGGATATTGTAGTTCAAAATGTCTTTAAATGCAAACAAACAACAAACACACAAAATGCTCATATCCATTCCTTTTCCAGGACATCTAATTTACTTTAGAAGTGCATTTACTAAAACTTGAAAAGTGACTTAAAAAGCATGAAGCTAGTTTTTATAAGCATTCTATAGACTCTCATAGCAACCACAGGCACTCTGTCCAGACTCTCTCCCATCAACTTGTTCAGGTTTCTCCTACGACCCAAAAGTAGAAAGCATCTATCTGGTAGAATAAGATAGGTTATTTGGGGAGTCTAGGTATACTATTACCACTCATTTATACAGAAAAAAAATTGAGCATTTCCAGGCCCCCAAAATAATCTATCAAATCACACTAAATGGGGAAATTCTACTTTCACATAGCAAGGGAATGTTGAATGCAAAGCTGATTGCAAGGAATGAAGGGAAGGAAAATGGAAGATGAACAAATGTAGCTATCAAGTATTTTTTTCTCCCTCTCTTTTTTATTTTTTCAGTGATTCACCTCAGAATTGTACCCTGTCTGAGTTATTGTAAAATTCTGTTCAATTTTTTAGGCAAGCTGTTTAATTGTTTTTAGATGTAGAGGGGGAAAAATCAGTATCTTATCTTCCCAGTGATACTACACTTTGATAATAATCTCAACTCTTGCAGAAGGCAGCATGGTGCAGTTAACAAAGCCTTAACAAGGGGCCTGGGCTAAGGTAAATCCAGGAGCCACCATCAATTTGCTATTTATCAATGGAAATGTTACAGACCTCTTTCCTAGGCCTCATTTTGTTTTTCATCTGCAAAATGGGAAATGATGAAAAGGATTAAATAAGGCAATAAGAATGAGAATGAAGCCCAATACTAGGTACAGTGCAAATTTTCTTCCCTTTTAAAATCAGATGATAGGTTATGAACACAGTGCTGACTCTGACTGAGGGCGCTATATTCTGCAAAGGGAGTCTTGGTGGCCCAGTTGTATCTGTTGATTGCACACATCTGGAAACTATGACAACAGGTTTGCCTTGAGCTCGCTTGGCCCAAGTGTAATCCTATACAAGGCAGCTTCTATCTTTCAAATTTTCCCAACACATAATAGCTTGGTTTGAATTTGGGCAAAGGAGTGGGGTAAAAAAAAAAAAATGCACACTGTCTGGGAGGTATTTAGATGGAATAATTTAACCATTACTTAGGCCCTTATGGCCTGACTGTAACAGATACAGGTTTCATGGACTCCACCCCCACCCCAGATACTGGAACTACAAATCCTATCAATGCCAATGAGAAGCAAGCTGGGACCTGAGGGTGGAGCTGAGCAGCCAGGTTGGGATAAAACCTAAAACCGGACATGTGGGCTCCAGGGGGTTTCTTGTCCTTGTGGCTGATGGCTTGTCTCTTGGCTCTTCAGTGAGCTATTGGGGTTCCAAGTCAATGGAACTGGTAGTATAACAGGTACAGGTTTCATGGGCTCTGCCCCCAATCCAGATACTGGAACTCCAAATCCCATCAGGGAACTCCAAATTCCATCAGTACCAAGGAGAAGCACACTGGGACATGAGGGCGGAGCTGACAGAGAAAAAGGAGAGAAGTAGAGAGAAGAAAAAGAGGATGGAGAACAAGGAGGAGACCTGAGGAAGCCATCTAGAGCAGCAAGCCTGTGAGGAAGAAGCCGTGCTTGTTTCCTGACCCTGGACTGGTTAAGGCAGATGTGGGTGAGATACCTATAGGGAGGTGACTATGGCAGTGTTTATATTGATATTGATTTTGCTCTTTTCCTCCCAGATTTGTCTGGCTACTTCTGATCCTTTTCCATGGGTCCTGGCCAGAAGGTGCTTTAATCTTGTGGCAGGCTTTCAGGCCTTGTTTTGGGCCAATCCCTTTTGGGTTGACTTTTGCCCACGAGGGGATGGGTAACTTCAGCTGTTTGATTTAGAAGTTATATTTTTTGTGTTCCATATTGTATATTCACTGTATTAAAGTCCCTTTTCATTAAAGTTTTTTTTTTAAAGATTTATTTATTTGTACATACAGAACTGGGGTACAGGCCAGAGGCTCAGGGGCGGTGAGAGGCTTCACCAGAGACAGAGCGGGGAGCAGAACAGACAGATCTATGAAGTACACTGCTGAGGGGAGCAGTGGGCGGGCCAGGAGAGGTCTGCCACGCCATGTGGTCACCTCCGGGGCAGGCGGGAATCGAACCATGCGGATGTGGCTTTAGCTTCTCAGTGCAGTGCTTTAACCCGCTGCGCCACCAGAGAGGGCCCCCTTTTCATTAAAGTTTTATGTTTTGTCTTGTTGTGGCGGATGGCAGAACCCACTTAGAGCAGGCAGGTTTGGGGCTTCAGGGGTGCCCCTCTCTCCGTGGTGTAACAGATTTTGTTCTGTAACAGCGTTGGCGTCCAACGTGGGGCACCAAATCTGTTACAGGGCACCCCAATGTGAATTGGGTTACCCGTCTGTGGGTCTTCACCTGCACGCTTACGATTCAATAGTATTATGGACACACTCAAAAAGGTTCAATAATGGATTTATTTATAAGGAGAAAGGTAAAGGAATAACCCAGGGAAAGAGGGAGAGAAATACAAGTTAACTAGAATGTCCTACCAGTTCTGCTGACTAAGACCACCGGTACGCTGAAAACCGATTGAGAGCCAAAACGATCAGCCGTGAACCACCAGGCCAGGAAACCCCCAGAGTCCACATGTCCGGTTTTATCCCAACCTGGCTGCTCAGCTCCACCCTCAAGTCCCAGCGTGCTTCTCCTTATCTCAAATTCATGCCTGATTATCTCTGTAACCTTGAGAAAATCACTGATGGGATTTGGAGTTCTAGTATCTGGAGTGGGGGTGGAGTCCATGAAACCTGTACCTGTTACAGTAGGACTCATTAACTTATCTCTCTCTTTCCCTTATTCATTTCCCTTGTAAATAAACCCATTATTTACTTGTGTGTGTGTGTGTGTGTGTGCGCGCAGTGGAATCTTAAGCACACGGGTGAGGATTCACAGTCAGGCTACCCAGTTGGGTTGCTGGGTTGCCCTGTAACATCTAGCAGTGAACTATTTCTATATTAGGTCACTGTCCATGCACAGGAGCCCCATGAGTAGTAGAATTATGCCAATGTTATAAATGCTTCAATTGAGACTAGTAGGTTAAGTGATTTTCTCAAGGTTACAGAGATAATCAGGCATGAATTTGAGATAAGATTTCAGGTTTTTTGATGTGACCTCAGTCAACAGGAAAAGAAAAGTAGGCCCTAAGCTTGAACTCACTGACAATTAGATGCAAGTTAAAGTTAAGCAGGAGGATTTACAGTGAGGAAGGTGGGCAACTGCAGGATCTACTTGTCAAAGCCAGTCTTTTTGAGTTGACATTGTGATAAGTGATAGTAAGGGAGGGGAAGTCCCAGAGAAGCTCACTGGCCTGGAGACTCCCTGTGTTCGGGCCCTTGTCCATTATGTCACATATGGCCTGGAACGGGGAATGAGATATAGCGAATTAAGCATGTCAAATATTAGCAATGTTTGATCACTAGTTATTAAAAACACAATTTGTAAAATACTCAGCATAATTTAATCGTCTAGCATTTTTCTTTGTTTTCTTTTGATGATTCAGAAGGTATTTTAGGGCAAACTGTCATTCATCTATTCAACAAATATTTACTAATCTATCAAGTATATGTGAAGCACTACTCTAAATGTTGGGGACACAAAAACTCTTCAATAAAAATGCTTAAACTGCCTTCTCTTAAAACTGATTAAGTAGTGACAAAATGAAATTTTGGGGAAAGAATACTAAAAAACAAGTATGCCTTTAAAACATAACATTTAAAAACACAAAACTACTCTAAAGGTACTTCTTTTATGGGTTTACTTGATGGCTTCTTTTCCTTTTTTTTTTTTTAAACCTTAAAATTTTCCATTTTCCTCTTGCCCCTATGGTCTCAGGAGACAATTTGAGTCCCAGTATGCCCTGCATCATCTCCTACTGTGTCCAATGCCAAAGGAAGGCAATCAGAATGTGGGTTTTTGTTCAGCTCTGATTGGATGATAAACAGTAATATGCTGCTAGAGATTTAAAAAATACCAGGATGCTGTATTTCAACCCTCCTCTCTCCAAATCAAAAGCCTAATGAATAAATTACAACTGTTGCTCAGGTGCAATTATACTGAGTATGTAAAATTGAAACACTGAAAGTAAATCATACATATGGATATTACATTTCATATTTGAGCATATGCCAAATAAGCTAGTAAAATTTCATTACTGTTGAGTATAATGTCAGGAGACAAACTTGTATAAATCTTATACCTAAGCTTTTCCATTCTTTCTGTTTTCCATTTATGTCAAGTGGAACACACGGTGTGACTTTTAGAAATTTTCTTCTCCATATTTAATAGCAAGTGATCCAATTCCATCTTGATTATCCGAAATTTACTTCCAGGTAACAGACCAAGAGGTTTTCTTAATTAGCATAGAAAAAGATCGAAGAACCCCCTCCAAATAACCCTAGAGAAAGGATTCTATGAATACAAACAAATGGTCTTGAAAGTGCAGCACATCGTACAAGACAAAGATGGACAGAAGTCCCTTCCCTGAGTTCATGGAAACTGGGTGATGACTATGGACACTGTGGATTATAACCTATAATATGCTCTCACACACTCCGGGCTGGCTTGGTGAGCAAGAGCGGAAGAAAAGGGGTGACGGCTGGGAATCAAGAGTGCGGGAGGCCCCCATGGGGAGCGCGTGCACCTTAGCCACACGGCACCGTTGAGGTAACGACTGCGGAAGCATGGCTTCCAGCTTTAGGAAGGCAAACGCATCCTCTACTAGCCAGAAAAAAAAGCTGAATCCTAAGCCTGAACTCACTGAAGATCAAAAACAAGAAGTCCGAGAAGCATTTGACCTCTTCGATGCTGATGGGAGTGGGACCATTGATGTGAAGGAGTTGAGGGTGGCCATGAGAGCACTAGGCTTTGAACCCAAGAAGGAAGAGATAAAGAAGATAATCTCTGAAGTGGATAAAGAAGGCAAAGGGAAAGTCAACTTTAATGATTTCTTGGCTGTGATGACTCAGAAAATGGCCGAGAAAGACACCAAACAAGAAATCCTGAAGGCTTTCAGGCTCTTCGATGATGATGAAACCGGGAAGATCTCTTTCAGAAACCTAAAACGGGTGGCCAGTGAGTTGGGGGAACACCTCACGGATGAGGAGCTGCAGGAAATGATCGACGAAGCTGATAGGGATGGAGATGGCGAAGTGAACGAAGAAGAGTTTCTTCTTATCATGCAAAAGACGAACCTGTGTTAAAGTCAGCCTCTCCGACAAGCATAGATAGCGGAAATGGAGGGACTTCCTGGGTTCCTTTCTTCTCTTTTGTGATGCCTTGATTAGACCACAGTGGCCATCTCTCCATTTCTCCTTTTCCTCCTCTGTTGTCTAGATACGTTTATATCCAAATCTCTGGGCTTAATTACAGAGTTTCAAAGATGTTTTTAATGTGAGTTTTGATTTTTAATTCTCAAGAGCCGACCAGGAGGTTGAATAAAAGGTCCCGAAGCTTCAGTCCCATCTACCATCTGCCTTGCATAGGTGGATAGTCTTTAAAGGCAGATTGGCTTCTTAGGAAGAGAAATGCTGTTCTCTTATACCTTTGTTGGTGGTCTTAATTATTGTGTTTCATATATTATTCTTAAATTCTGGCCATTGGGTTAGCATGATAAAATGGAATCCGCCAGCAGATTAGTTTAGTTAGTGCTTTTCACTTGACTAAATACTTGTTTTGAGGAAAACAGTATGACCACTTATGGCTAATGAAAGATATTGTTCTAAAGCATGGGCTTGCCTTTGGCTGTTGCTGAATTGAGTAACAGATATTTCTCTGACTTGATCATGTGCAAACCATTCTGGCTTTGTGTGTAAATTATCTATTCTGGATTAAAAAGGACCAGAATGTATATGTGGATATATACATTAAAAAAAAAAAGAAATTTAGGGCTCTCCCTGGTGGTGCAGTGGGTTAAAGCATCACACTTAGAAGCTCTTAGAAGCCAATGCAGCACAAGCTGGATCCCCAGCCAGGGAGCTGACCCATATGGCATAGCAGACCTCTCCTGACCCACCTACTGCTCCCCTCAGCAGTGTATTTCAGTAGATCTGCCTGTTCTGCTCCCCACTCTGTCTCTGGTGAATCCTTTTACCCACCACACCTCTGCCTGTACCCCAGTTCAGAAGCATAAATAATAAATCTTTTTAAGCATAAATAAATCTTTTTAAAACAAAGAAATTTAATATTGACCTCAGCAAAGTATAATTTGATTAAGTTTATGATTCTGAGTAAATATAAGTGCAAAATTTTAGTTTAGGAAATTGTTTAAGAAATATCTGATAAATCTGAAACAAAATATCTATCCTTAAAAAGACCAACTAGTGTTTTAGTTATTAGATTTCTATAATTTAACCCCCTTCATTTGATTATTATTTTTTACAAGTCATTCTTTATCTGCTAATTCTCAGAACATCTTGTTTTTTGATTATTGCCCCGCCCCTCACAATAAAATTGATTCCAGAGTGTCTGGTCTAAAGGTAGTTCTTTATTTTATAATCCCAGGAAGCTATTTTACTATGGCTTGTGTATTTGTTAGTACTACTCTTTTTTTTTAATAGTAAATTAAGCCTTTCTTGCTCTGAAATAAGATGCCTATTTTTTTTTTTTTGTCTACTAACACTTCTGACATTAGAACAGACTGAAAAATTATAATTGTGGGAAGATAATATAATTGGTTGAGATGGAAGCTTAGACTAATATTTGATATTATGCAACAAAACTATTAAGTAGTTAAGTTCTCATACAAAAGTCCCACTTAGGAAATGTGGAAGCTCTGGAATTTTTTTTAAACTTGCTTTGCTGGCAATTTTACCCTTCAGAAAGTGATAGATCTGCTCAGGGTAAGTATACTCTGGGTTTAATTCTCACTGACAAGGACTAATTTATCAAAGCAGGAATACCAGCTGAAGTGATAGGTATTTGGGCATTTACTGTGAGAAAAGGTTTTGCTGAGGTGGCTGGCACAGGCCAGGGGAACTCTCCCTAGCTGCAAATCCTAATGGCTAAGGTTCAAGATCTTAATATGGATTCAGGTGCAGGAATACAAGTGCAACTTGAGTCAGCATTGGTGTGAAGGGTCTGATATGAGGGAAAGGGGAAGAAGGTTATACTCTGGGATGTAAGAATTCCTGGAATCTGGTTAACCAGAGTTTTGGCCCATGGATCTGCAAATGAATCCAGGTAGAAATACCAGAAACAACGAAAGTTGGCAGAAACTAGAACAGGTCAGCATCCTAGCCATCTGGACTAGATTCAGCCTTGGCTCCTGGCCGAGCAGTGCTAGAAGTGAAAACCAGGAACCCACTGAAGCCTAGCAGCCAGGAGACTCAAATCATGATGAGCTCAATCAAGAAGGCTGCAGCCAGTTACCTAAAGGGCTGTCCAAAGGGCACAACTTGCCATGGAAGTGGGGGGAGGGAGGGTGTGAGGGGACTACAGAGTACTTCAGTGTCCCGCTCACTGCTAAGGAAGAAATTTCAGTGTACTCTTAGTCTTGCTTTGTAATTGGCACACAGCTGGGGCTGAATGGATAAAGGAAGAGAAGGAAGATAAACACAGCAGGCCTAGATATTTCATATTTAAGAGAAGTATATGTCTGGATGGGTCAGACATGTATGCTAGTCTTTACCACAACACAAAATATTCGAAGAAGAAAGAGCTCTTCCCATGTCGAGGCAGCCACTAGGTAAGTAAATCAAAATGAGTGCTTACAAGTACATCCAGGAGCTGTGCAGGAAAAAGGCAGTCTGATGTAATGTACTTTCTTCTTGGGGTGCACTGGGGTAGTACAGTCAGCTTTCAGCCCTCCAGCTCTGGTCTTAGCCAACCAGAAAAATCATGGGATATAAAGCCAGTTTAAAGGTGATTCTTGATATATTTGGATTAATAGCTACCACATAACATACTATTTTTCTATCCATTGCTTGTGGTTTTCATTGAGAATTTTATGTAATTCTATTGTCTCTCTGTTAGCATATCAATTACACCTACCTAAAATCAATTTTTGTTATTGCCCTAGACTATAACTCTTTCAAAACAACTTCCAGATAACACTACACTGTGTGACTCGTGTATTTTATTCTCCTTTATAATACTGATGATATCCATTTCATTTATCCATAAGCCATAGTCATTGAACATATTATTGTCATTGTTATTTTGAATAAATTGTTATTTGTTTGATCAATTAAGAATGAAAACATATTTTATTTTGCCTTTACTTGTTCCTCTCTGATGTCTTCTTTATGTATATGTATTTGAGTTTCTAATAACTTTCCTTTTCTTTTGTAGAGCTTTTTTCTTATAGGCCTAATAATGATCTATTAGTTGTAACTATTACTTGCCTGACAAAAGCCTTATTCCTCCAGTTTGAGCAACAATTTAACTGAATCTAGAAATATAGGTTAATGGGGGTTTTTCTTTCAACACTTGAAATATTTCATCCTACTTTCTTCTTGCTTGCATGCTTTCTGAAGAGAAGCCAGTATCATTCTTATTCTTTTTTTGTCTAAAAGTAAGGTGTTTCCCCAGCTCTGATTTCTTTCAGGAATTTCTCTGCCTTTGATTTTCCGCAGTTCAAACATAATTATGTGTACATTTTTTGGTTTTATCTTGGATGGAGTTGTTTACTCTTCCTGGATCTTTGTTTTGTGTCTGTCATCAATTTTGGAAAACTCTCTATCATTGTTTCAGTTCTTTTCTTCCCCTTATATGAGGAACATAGTTTTCATGTGTCCTGTTCTTTTTTTTTTTTTTCAGCTTTGTAAGTTTCTATTAACCTATCTTCAAGTTCATTGATTTTCTCCTTGGCTATGATGAGGCTCTTCATCAGTCCATCAAAGAATCTTAATTTCTGTTCCATGTTTTTATTTCTAGCATTTCATTTTAATTCTTTTCTAAAATTTCCATTTCTGTTTTGCAAGCACATAAGTTTTTTCATATTGTCCTATTTCCTATAGACATTTTTTTTCAGTGTTCATAGCTTAATAATCACAGCTATTTTAAATTCATGGTCTGATTCTACCTATAATGAGGAGACAGAGTTGATCCCTCTGCCTCACTCCCCAATAAGACTGTGATTGAGCTGGGCTCCAACTCTCCCTAAACCCCTTAGTAGCTACCAAGCTAAACAAAGAGAAACAATCAAAACAAACCCACAACACCCACTTACAATCATACCATAAATAATGAAATGCCTGGGAGTAAAGATAATGAAGGAAGTGAAGGAACTGTATATTAAAAACTATAAGAAATTATTAAAGGAAATGAAAAAAGGACACAAAGAAATGGAAAGATATTCCATATCTATGAATTACAAGGGTAACATTGTTAAAATGACAGTGCTGCCTAAAAGAATTTAGTTTCAACACAATACCTACCAAAATCCCAATGACTTTAAAAAAAAAGACAATTATAAAATATGTATGGAAATACAAAAGGCCCAATTAGGCAAAACAATGCTGCGAGAAAAGAAGAAGAAGAAAAGAATCACACAACCTGACTTCAAATTACACTACACATCAACAGTAATAAGAATGGTATGGTATTGCAATAAGAACAGAAATAGACAAAGAAAGAGACCAAGGAATAGAATAGAAAATCCAGAATAGACCCAAACAAATATGGACAGTTATTCTTTGACAAAGGAGCCATGACTTTACAACGGAAGAAAGAACTCCTCTTTGGCAAATGGTGCTGGAAAACTTGGAAAGCCATATGAAAAAAAAGAAAAAAAAGGAAACTGCACCATTACTTAACTCCATATACAAAACATAACTCAAAATGGAGTAAAGACTTGGATATAAGAGCTGAGGCCATAAAATACTTTCAGAAAACATTAGTGATACACTCCTGGATATCAACCAGGGTGATATATTTCAGGACTTGACTCTAACTACAAGAGAAACAAAAGGAAAAATAAATAAATGGTACTACCTTAAACTAAAAAGCTTCTTTGCAATGAAAGGAATTATTAAATTGAAAAGACACACTACTAAATGGGGGGAAAACTCACACATCAGACCTCTCACAAGGGGCTTCATGCCATTGCATCCTCAGGAACACAAATCCAAAATAGCAAATTCCATAATCATGTAAAGAACTCATATAACTCAACAAAAAGAAGACAAATAACCCAATCAAAAAAGGAGAACTAAATAGAGACTTCTTCAAAGAAGACATACAGATGACCAACAGGTCGGTG